ACTATTGTATTCCATTTGTATAGATATATTTGTAATTTTAAATTTTATTATGAAATTCATCTTATCAAAGTCATCTTATCACCATCAGAATACAGTGATATTGCTGTGGTGTGTGGCACATCTGCCATTGACCTGGCAATTCAAATCTGTCCGGTTATCTACACCGGCTACAACAAGAGCTTACTGATCCTCAACCGCATCTGGGACAATGCGGACTGTCATGGGACGCTGGACACCTCGGTGGCACCGCCCGTGCTGAGATTTAGCTTCCCCATCAGAGAAGGAAACGCCTGTGGGAGTAACTTCTTGGTGAGTATTGCATCAGTGAAGTGTCCTGAGAGAGTCATGAGAGATAGCGTTCTTGGGACTTGTGAAGCTAAGTTAGGGCCGATTAAAGAAACTAAAAGGCTATCTAAGTGCTGTGTATTAGGTCAGGTAAGAAGAAGTGAAAAAGAGAGCACTCAGGGTAGAAATAGGAGAATTTCACCAAGACATACATGAGGTGAATCAATCTACTCTTGACTTATTGTAACACAGACACACGCAATTCCACCAGTCTCCTTTTCTGAGAGTGAGAAAGTTGTTCCACTTTCTCGCTGCAGTTTCATCACTGCAGCCTGCTGTGCCGGAGACGCTGGCCGACATTTATTTTTAACCATTTCTGAAATAATCATGTTTCTGTTAAATAATTCTTTAGACCACGAGCACACCAGGGACGGGATTATTCTCAGACTTCTCCAACATCCAGACGGTCAACGTCAGCGGGGTGGTCCGATCCTCCGACCCCACCATCGGGACGATCACCTACAACGCTGAGCTCAAGTATTACTACTCATGTGCTTATCCTCTGGAGTATCTCATCAACAACACCCAGGTGGATGTGTAAGTCATAGCATGTGGGTTAAAACATACATTAACACTTCTAACATTTCACCTGCGTGCCAAGTGTGACCTCATTTCTTTCTTCCTCATAGGTCATCCTCCTCCATTGCTTTGAAGGACAACAATGGGAGCTTCATCAGTACCCTCAGCATGGCCTTGTACCAGGTGCCACCTTACACCTTCCTCACATACTATACATCATATATGCCTGTCACAGACATAAACTGTAACTCCAGAAGACTGATATTATGTAAGAGCTTGTATAATGTTTTTTTTTCTTTTACCTTTTCTTCCTTTGCCAGGATATAAATTACACCACGCCCCTTGTCTTGCCACGCCTGGGTGTCGAGCTGAGAACAAACATCTACGTGCAAGTGGCTGCATCCAACTTGACATCCCAGTAAGAACCATTGACGTTGTGTGGGTTTTTCTTTGTCTAGTTCACACATGGACTCAGATTTAACTTCTAAGAAAAACACTGAGGGGTGAGATCCAGAGTGACATTAAGTGACAGTTGACCAACTTTACAGGAGAGCCGAAGCAAAAAATGTCCATACTTTGTCCTGAATTTATTTATTGAATCAAATCTTTAATATTAAAACTTCATAAACATGTGGAAGACAATATAATTAATGAACAATATTTTTACATTTATTGAAAAAAAAAAAAAATCTTTTAAATACATTTATTTGCTTTTTGATTAATAACTCTGCATTGGTTTAAAATTCACATGTGCCCTTTTGGCAGTAGAAAGAGCTCAAGAGGTTTCATTTAAAGTTTTATATAACTCATTTTCTCCCAAAATGTCATTTATGCTCCTCTGGTTCTCACCCCTTGGCATATTATATATATATATATATATAGACAATGGAGGACCCCAAGAGTGACTGTTCATCAATCAGTGGCAGCTTTGTTCTTGTTGTTTGCACACCTATAAAAGAATCTAATAAAAATAATAGGCCAAAAAGCTTCCCTATTGTGATTTTGTACATTCACTCCAAAACATGTCTCAGCAGGTGTGTGCTTATCTGTCTCTGTCATTTTAGTATCTACTCTTAATCAATTAAACTACAAAAGTATTTTTCAGTTGTAAGAAATGTGATAAACATCTTTTATTCTGAAGTTTGTGAGTAGAAGTTAAGGTTAAAAGTTTGACTTTTAGCAGTCTGATAAATGTCGGTCCTGGATGTTGGTAATATATGAATGGCTGGTGTGGAAACTGAGTCAATCTCTAGATAAAAAACAAGACATTTCCCATCTCTTTTAGTCTTCAACCACCTGACTGTTGATAGATTGTAAATCTTAGGATTCTACCTGTGATCTGTAGTCTCTGACTCGGTGCTGGGGGCTTCATTCTTTCTCCACAGGTACTTTGTTCTTCTGGACCGGTGCTACGCCTCGGTGAATCTGCAGCCCTCCAACTCCACCTACTTTAATCTGTTTGTCTCGTAAGTCGCGAAAACTCCTAAAGAAATTCTGTCAAAAAAAAGCGTGAGCTGCCTACTAATTGTAACTTGTGGATTTCTTCCAGTCCTTTAAGGATTGTAGATTGGTTCTGTCTCTCGGTTCAGCAGTCTAGCTTTAAATTTAAACCTTTACACATATCTACAGGTTTTCCTCTTCCGTGCAATAAGTGCAGCACAGCTAAAGGGAGCCCTAGTCTTGATTTCGTTTCCCTGCCCTTCTATCATTAATACACTGCCTGTATGCCTGTATGTGTGCAAATGGGGCACTTGTGAGGTTCGCCTTCTATTGAAAGGTGCTCCATAGATCAGCTCACCACCATGCTGGAGAACGGGGATAGCCAAAAGGCCCGCTTCTTCTTCCCGGCATTCCGCTTCATCGAGCAGCAGAATGAGACCATCTCCATCTACTATCTGCACTGCATCACCCGACTCTGTGAGCGCAGCACCTGCAGCACCTTAAAGGTAGGAAGGCAGCGCATGCATTTCAAGCAGAAATCCCCAATTCCACCAGTCAGATCATCAACTCGTCTCTTTGTCTGGTTTAATCCGCAGCAATGCAACAGGAAGAGGAGGAGTGTGGAGACCACGGTTGTCCAGGAGAGCATCACTGAGCCTTCGGTGCTCACAGTGGCTATAAGGGCCAAGACAGAGACCTGTATGTCCCCTATGTGTCTTCCTTTTTGTGCAAATGAGTAACAGGAGTCAGACTAAAGATCTGCACGCTGTAATGATAGCCACCAGTAGATTTAATAAAGCAAATGTAAATCTTGGTTAGACATCATCAAATAAACACCACAGAGAAAACAGAAGAAGCGATATTGGAGGAAAAGTTTGATATTTTTATTATATTTATTGTTTGCTTTTTTGCTGAGGTGAGATAGATTGATATTACTCTCATGTCTGCAAGCTAAATATGAAGCTACAGCGAGCAGCTAATTAGCTCAGCTTTTCATAAAGACTGGAAACAGGTGGAAACAGCTAACCTGACTCTGTTTTTTTTTCTGACTTTTCCATTCTGCTTATTTTTCCAATGTTTTGGCAAATATAATATTTTGGATATAATCTCTCATAATGAAACACTGACTCTTATTGTCTTCCTTGCAGCCATTCTCTCAAAAGAAGAGGGTAAGTATGTTATTTATTAACTTGACAGCCATGAGAGCAGCCATTCACAAAGTTTTTACTAATTAGATTTCTCCAGAAATGAAAAGCATTTCTTATCTGCAGCAAGTCATAATGTCTTCTGTTGTGTGCTGGAATTAAACATCCCATAATGGTGTCACTCTCATTTGTGCACAGCACTGTCTGGTGGCCAGTCTGATGGCAAGGGCGCGTCTGTTGGCCTGGGAATCGCTGTGGCTGTCCTCATTGTGATAGGGATGGCAGCCATTTTGATGGCCACATCTTTTTATCGAAAACTGAAGCGGTTAAGCTAGCAGCAGCCCATAATGTTGATGAACAGAGGTCAGCACAGGCTAAATGACATAACGAGTTTGACAGGGTGACATTCACATACTGGTGGAGGTGCATAATGTATGTATGTAGGACTCTGCTTTACTGAATCAAACTATTGATTGGAGCACTTAATGTTTCTTTCCAATCCTTCACAGACTGTTAGACGTTATGGAAGGTGAAGTCTGAATAATGCACCTGCTGTGATGCACTGCATGTTAAAAAGGAAAGAAAGAAAGAAAGAAAGAAAGAAAGAAAAAGAAAGAAAGAAAAGAAAGAAAAAAGAAAGAAATTTAATTGTCACTTGAGGGAGTAAGTTCAACATTTTGTGAAATACTTATTTGCTTCCTCCAAGAAGTAATAGTCGGTGCATACAGTAACTGCCTATAAAACAGCAAATTCTCAATTTTACAAATGAATTAAACAAACAAGATATAAAGTGTTAATTAAAGCTTTGGGAGTTCAGGTAGTTGAACTTTCTTAGTTACTTAGAGCCAGGCTCACTGTGTTTCCAGTCTTGACACTAAACTAAGCTCATCTGCTGCTGGTTCCAGCTACAAGTTTATCTTACAGACATAATTTGGCATTTATGTTCTGATCGCAAGTGTATTTTCCACAATGTCGAACTTTTCCTTTAACTTACAGCGTTACAGAGTCAAAGCAAAAGATCATGGCTAAGGATTTCAATCCTTTTTGTCTCACATTAAATTTGGTTTATTGTCAGTGAGTAAATATTCTTTGATTCAAGTACTCAGACGTCTTATTTATCTAACCTATAGGCCATAAATAAATATCTACATTTGTATATGAATTAGGAACATGGATGACACAGTGACAGTGGATTGCACTCCTTGTAAAAATTTCTAATAGATTATTTTGTCCATGCCAGAGCTGACCTGTTGCATGTTATATGTAGAAACGCATGTGTTATTAATTAAATTCCATCTACAAAATGAGTGTGCGTTCTGTTGGTCATGACAGAAATCCAAAGGTATCATGAAATGAACATGAAATGCAATGATACCAAAAGAATGAGCAGGGAAATTTAGTTATTTATTTGCATTATTTTTATGTTTGTAAAGCCTGCATTATATCAGGGGGATTTGTTTTATTTACTACTAGTTTTAACAGTTGTAATAATGTATAATCTATATTGTGGCAACTGTTCTGAGAAAGTTTGTACATTTCCAGAAATGAATGATTGCTGTGTGTATATCATTCATTTGTTTTTACTATTAAAGCTTGCAAGATATGAAACAAGAGGTCGTGTCTTCCAACCGCAGACACTCACCTGCAATCCAAAGTATACTCTGCATGCCATGAACTACAATCTTATGTTAGAGTGCATTTCACAGTCCACATGAAACAGTCCCTGACATACAAGAAGGCTTTGGTTAGCTTTCATGCAGTGTGGGAATAAAAAGGAAATGAAAAGGATTAATTTATCAAACTGAGTATAACTGGCACACACACATATGCTGTTTTATAACTGGAGGAATGTAGATCGTACAAAAAGTAGAGCTGTTCAATTTGAATATTAGTATTTCAAATTCATACTGTCAGGAATTTCCTTCAGTTTGAGGTTTGATGTGCTTGGCTTTGGAAGCACAGCGGATAAAAGTTTGTGTTGAGGTTGTGATGTTTTTGTAATGATCCTCCACTAGAGGGTGTCTAATCACCATTTTTTTTATCTCATTTTTTTAAAGCTTACAAGTACTACAGTTGTGATTTTCAAGCTTACCTGTCCACAGTGCCATTAGTTATTATCAGGACTGGATTTGTTTTATTGCCCACACACTACATTACTAGCTTATTTTTTCATGTCAGCTTTCTGAAGAGCACAGGCTGCCTGTATTTCCAGTTTATGTGCTCATGGGAGGGTAAGATCAATGATTTTCTGAGTGACCCAGTGAAAAGCTAGATGTCTTCTCCTGTACACCATAAAAAATAACAAGCAAAGTAATCAGCTGGTTTGACAAATGATCTAATTACAAGTTCCTGGATTGTTAAGTAGGCCATGAAAAACTCCATGACAAGACGACCCACTTTGAAACGTGATGGGGATAAATCAGCTGAGCTGGAAGGTAGTGCTCCATTAGGACTGCAGCAACTGTATGTTCAGGATAAATCCCCCTTTTATGAGTTCCATGTAATTTAATTAAACCAACTGGGATAAACGCATGCTCTGTCGCTCTCTAATGGTGTGGACATTAACCTTTGGATCCAGCTGCTTTGCCCTCTATAATGTTAATAGCTGTGGGGAAACAGGAGTGAAGAGCAGGAATTTATAATTCACTTGCTGCTTATGTTGCTCTTGACGCTGCATATTTTGCTGTATCTTACCATATTTAAAGTCAACTCATGTTGTGATGCATTTTTATAAGCAGCATTTGTATTGCTGCCATTAAAACTTGCTCTGTTTATTTCAGACTTATCTGCTAAAGGCATGAAATCTCTGTCAGGATGAATGTGTTTTTTTTACTGGCTTCAACATTTTGGTCGGTTTTGTCCTCAGTTGAAAGAATAATTGTCCTGTCATTTCTATTCTAATTAATATGCATATGAGTCTGTCTGTGGGCTATACATTAAGTTTAGTAGACAGCACAATCATGAAAAATTGATGGACCAATTGTAATTTAGGGCAGGCACATGAACATGAAGACTCTTGGAATATGATGACTTTGAATAAACAGTGTCAGAGTTGTGCTAATGGGCTGAAGTGATGTGCTAATGTGCTGAAAAAAATAAAGACGGGATGGGTTCAAAGCAGGTAAATGTGAAAAACTTTACAAAGGTTTGACTGTGCCGGACTGCTGAGCAGGCGAAGTCACGCTGGAAGGTCCAGCTGTTCCATTAACCTTTGGTAATGAGACAGTGAAGCTGGGAAACTGTGGGCAAAGTGTAATGTCATGTTCATGTCATATCAGAGGAAGCAGAAGAAGAACGAATAGGACACAATTTCTTTGCTACATCCTGCACATGTTAAAGGAAATAATTCAACATTTTAGGAAATATAATTATTTGGTTCCTTGCTGAGAGTTATGTGGATGAGATGATCGACACTGCTGTCATATCTCTTTCTGTTAGCTAAAGTAAAGGCCAGGCTGGAGCCATAAGCTTAGCTTATCATAAAGACTGGAAACAGCTAGCCTGGCTCTGTCTGCAGGTAAAATAATCTGACTACCAACACATCTAAAGGTCACTAATTAACATGTCATATCTTGTTTGACTGTTTCTTGAAACAGCCTGCCACAACCCTCCGTAAAACTACAAATGTATTTTTTTCAACTGAAAAAATGACAATATGTTAATTAGTACGTTTTAGAGTTGCTGCTGGTAGTCAGATTCTGTTACCTTTGGTCTGAGCCAGGCTTCATTTCACAAAGAAAGAGTGCTAAAACATCTTTCTATGAAACATGGGCTTAAAGTTCAGGAATGACATGTATTTTGACAGCCTTTACATGACTGCTACTGTACCAATTAAATATTATAATAATATAAGTGCTATGCAGGTAGGCTTAGCAGAATTTTTCTTTGACTGAGAAAACCTAAATGAAAATGAAAGCTGTACAAATATTCTCTAATTTCTCGAGATGGGAATTGAGAACCGGTTCCAAATTAAACAACGATCAAACAGTGGAGCTTTTGTACACCTGAGTCACATGCCTTTTTTCTACTGTGTTTCCACATTGTGTTTAGTCTCTTAGATAATAAAACAGTTGTGTTGACACTGAAAACCTGGAGGCATACTTTTTGAATTGATAAAAAATCAGACCAATAAGCAGAATCATTGGAAATCAATAAAATGTTATAAATCCCCATCCCTAACGTCACCTGACCCAAACACGATACATTGATATGTAGTCTAACCCCAGTGGGTCTGTATGAGGCAAAAACAAAATGTTTATATTTGACTTGCAATGAATGAGAACAAGCAGGAAGGCTCGCAATATGGGTCAAAAATGTCTACCTCATAATGATAGGATACATGTTTCCGTGCTTCCTTTGCTTTTGTACTAAGCAAGTTAATGGTCTAACTCTCGCTAAGAAAGCCAAGAAGCAAATGCACTAAAATGTCACACTATTCCCTCCTTTGCCCACATAAGAAAATCCAAAGTGGCGCACACTGGACCTTGCAGGAGAAATCCCAAATATCCTTCCCGTGATTTCAACAAAGACTTGGCAAGGTTTCCCCAGCCAGCATCTGGTGTTTACGTGATACAGTATGATTTCAGCATATACCCAAGTGTATGTAGCTACAGCATCAGTGCAGCCGGCCGGTCTATGTGGATCATGTGAGTTAGTGTTGGTCCAATTAGTGTTGAGAGCGGAGTGGAAGAGGGTGAATGTAGAACACCAGAACACACTGTTAAGCCTTCAGGGGGTGTTGTGGGATAAATTCAACAAACTTTCTATTCTGGTGCCCACTTGACTGTAAATGTCTTACAAGGGAAGATTATTTCCAATCATTGATCACTGCAAAATGCAAGACAAAAAGAGAAGCCAAAGGGAAGCAAATCTGAGTCTTGAATTAAATATGTCAGTTCTCAAGACAGTGTGATTGGCATGTAGCTTGAAGCGTAATGTGTGAATATGTGAGTTTGAACCTCTAATTAGCATTCATTTCATTTTTATAAAGAAAATCAGTTGCTGTGGAGATTTCAAATCTGGCTTACAACTCTAGAAAGAAAAAACTTGTGAACTTGGAGCCAATCAGATTCCAGTGTTCAGCTCAGTTAAATGCCAACAATGAAATTAGTTGTGAGAACACATTTGAATGAGAGCTACAAAAGTGTGAGTCATTATTAAAATTAGTAGCAAAGTACTTTTTCAAAATGTGTTTCAATTTGTGGATCAGAGTGCAATCAGGAATTCTGATTGCCAAAATGAGAGGGGACATTTGGCAACAGAAAAAAAGGTCATGACACAAGGTGCTGATGATTATTCATCTGAGCAATATATTTAGATTTTTTACATGGGAAAT